TTTTTTTTTTTTACCTTTACAGCTTGTACAGATTATTATAAACACCACCCATCTGGAGAAATCCTGCAAGTTCCTCGAGGAATTTATCACCAACATCACCAACGTGCTTCCGGAAACCGTGCACACGACGAAGCTCTACGGGACCACCACCTTCAAGGTGAGGAATCCGGTGGCTCCACCTCCAGGAGGGGCTGGAGAGTGTGGATTTTGAGCTTTAGGCAGCTGAGCTTGGCCAGAAGATGATTTGGTTGTGTTTTGGGGAAGTTTGAGCCGTCATTTTTGGGTTTGTCCTTTAGGGCGTTGCTTCTGTCAAGGTCCTGAGAGTTTGTAGCCTTGATTTGTAGCCCTGATTATCTAAAGGATATTGATAATAATAATAACAACAACAACAACAACCACCAGGCTTTAAACCAAAAGCCCGACGATTGATTTATTTATTTTTAAAATGAATTTTCATTTTACTGGTTGAGTGCAGTGTGACCCATTCCTGGCCATGAATTCCTCACCCCGGGGGAGAACAGACTTCCAGAGTTCATATTTCTCTACCTTTCCACTCCTTTTAGCACTATTCCCTAAAAATCAAGTCTGACAGGAACTCCCAGGCTTCCCAGCCTTTAAATCTTGAAATCCTACCCCAGGAGTGTTCACACAGATACTTTCCATGGAATCTTAAGGCTGCGGTGGGTCAAGTGGGGGGTGTTGGAATTGTGTCCCGTGGGAACAGCAGGGAGTTGGTTGGGTGAGCTTTGAGTTATCCCTTGGGATAACTGAGCAGGAGAATAAGGTCTCCTGTCCTCAGGGAAGTCCTCATCCACCTCTTTGGCCTAAAGCTGGGTTTCCTGCCTTGTTTTGGCAGGGGGTGGCCTCCTGCACCCCACACCTTTCGGTTGGGTGGGTCTCGACCCTTTTCCTTCCATCCTCCACTGGATTTGTCCCAAGGTTGGATCAGAGGCAGAACCCACCTTGACCTTGCCCACCACCAGCCTGGTGGCACCTGTGTCCCTGCAGTGTGCCCTCCCTGAGGCTGCAGCAGCCCCGTGGGTGCTCCCTGAGCTCCGGGAGACCCCCACCCCACGTGTCGTGTCGCTCGCAGGACGCCCGGCACGCGGCCGAGGAGGAGATCTACACCAACCTGAACCAGAAGATCGACCAGTTCCTGCAGCTGGCAGACTACGACTGGATGGCCCCGGAGCCGGGGAGCAGGGCCAGCGACTACCTGGTGGATCTCATCGGCTTCCTGCGCAGCACCTTCGCCGTGTTCACCCACCTCCCGGTAAGGCACCGCCACCAGCGCCCTTCCTTTTCCTCTCCAGGCATCCCACCGTGCTGTGGGAATTCCTGGCTGCTCAGGCTTGGTGGAGTGTGGTGGGAACGGGGCCTTGTGCTGTCGATTCTGACATAAAAAACAATCTGCTTTAGTAATGTATTTCACCATATTTCACACGTTGGGTTTGCTGAGAGTATCCCCAGTTATTGGCAGGTGTCATTGCACGTGGTCGAGGCACCGTCACAGCCCACCGTGGACCAGGAGGGTCATCCTTCGCTTCCCACCTGTGTTTTTAGGACAAGGTTCTTCCCCCAGAGGGTGGTTGGCACAGCCCCAAGGCTGCCAGAGCTGCAGGAGGGTTGGGATGATCCTCTGGGGCCCAGGGTGGGACTCTTGGGGCTGGGCCTGTGCAGGACTCGATGATCCTGGAGGGCCCCTTCCAGCTCAGCACATTCTGTGATTTTGGCTATTTTAACGCTCAGCTTGATGGCCATCCAGCAATTTTTTTTTTTTTTTTTTCAAGAAATCCGCTCTCTGAGTGTCTTTTTTGAACTCCAGATACATTTCCAAGTGTTTGTCAAGCCACTGGTGCCTTCCATCAAAACCCTGCTCCGTTGGAAGGCAGCCTGTGTTTCTTTCTTCTCTCTGCTGTCTAAAATACCCCTGTGTGTTTGTGCTGTTGTTGCCATCAAAAATGTGGTTTGTGTTGCTTTTTGCACTTGGCTGAGTAGTGTCTCACTGGATAGGAAAAACAGAATCATCAGGGAGTTTCATTTTTGCTCAAAAAGCTTTCCCCTCATCACCTTTAAATAAGATTTGTTCTGAGCTGTCTGGGTGTACCCAGAGGAGGAGCTGGGATCAGCAGGTATTTTGGGACAGCAGATCCACTGAACTCTGCAGTTGTCCTAAAAGCAATTTCAGATCTTTTTTTTACTGGGACTGTGATTTATTTGTTGTTCCTGGGTGCCCAGGATTGTGCCCACGCTGGGCACACTGGGCATCTTTCATGAGCTCAGGCGTAAACAGGAAGAGAAGATTTAACATCCACAGCGGCGGTTTCCTTCGCCCTGCTTGTTTGTTCCCTGGGATTCCTCTTCTGGGAGGTTGCTCCAGCCCTCCAGGGCTGTTTTAGGAGGTGTTACAGCCCCAATATTGGGCTCATGTCTTCCCTGCCAGCAGGAAGGTCTGGGAGCAGGATGGAGCTGAGGATTTGCTGGGGATGGAGAAGCCACCAAGAGGGAAATGGAAGGGACTTTCCTGGTGTTGTTGAGGAAAAGGGGCTTCCATGGCTCTGTTATCTCTGGAACAAACTGCTAAATAAGGTGTTGCCTCCTGTGCAGAGAGGTTGGAAGGGCTTTTACCCATCTTCTTGCCCAGGTTTGTTGCCAAAAAGTCACCTCCGCTGGCAGCCGGGCAGTGTGGCTGAGCCTGGCCCAGCTGTGGGGCCTCTGGAGTCAGGAGGTGCTTGGAAACGGCTGCATCTCTCCTCAGAAACGGAGATGATGCTCCACAGGGCTGGAGACCACTCCCAGGAATCCTAGGGGGAATGCTTAATGGGACTTGACAGGGAGATTGGTGTCTGCAGCAGAGCGTGGAGCTCAACCAGCAGGAGAGATGAGGATGGGGAAAGGGAGCCCACGGTGATGGATGAGGCTGGAACTGGAGTGATTTGTCTTCCTTAAATATTAATGTTTCCTCTTGGAGTGAGCCAGGATTGTTCTGGGGGCTGGGAGGGCACTAATTGGTCTGCAAAGCAGGGAGATGGATGGAAGGCCCTGGCTGAGGAGGGAGGCTCCTGGGAGCCGGGGAGGCACCTCGGGGAGCTGCTGCCGAGGGCTCTGGGGAGCTGGGGGTCCCCTGCAGAGCCTTGCAGGAGATGTGGCTGGTTCTGTGGGTTTTTAACATATATTGGAGGGTCTTCCTTTGGAGGAGTGTGGAGATGCCACCACTGAGCGCCGTCAGTGGGTCCCTCCATCCCCTCGCAGGCGGTGGGTGGGGAGAACGAGCCAGGAAGAACCAGGGTGGACCTAAAAGGGCCTCCAGATCCTTTGGGGTCTCCACTTTTTTTGTCCTTTCAGGGTTCAAGGATTTTTTTTTTTTTTCCCCCCCAGTGGCTTATTCAGGAATGCACTGAAATTCCTGCCCTTTGCTGGTGAAATGTAGGAAGTAAGTCGTGTAGAAGCCCCCATGTGTCCCAAGCCAGGCAGGAAAATGATGGAGATGGTTGGGAAAGCACCAAAAATGTGGGATGAGCTTCAGCTGTGGAAGGAAAGAGTGAGAGGGGAGAAGGAAGAGTCTCCAAAAAGGGTGGATTACGACTCCCAAGAGGATATTTTAGGATTGCTGGGGGAAAGGTAGAGCTGTTTCTACACTGCTGATCCAAATCCAGCCTAGATTATGAACCATAGAGTTAATGATAGAATAAAGCATATATTTATTTTATTTTGATTTTACGTTTTTTTATTTACTTTATTTTATTTAATTTTTTATTATGTAGTTTTATGTATTTTTCTTTTTTTTACTTTGTTATTCTATTTTACTTTATTTTAATTTATATCATCTTATTTAACTTTATGTAATTTTATGTATTTTTATTTACTTATTCGGTTTAATTTTATATTATATTTTATGTAGTTTTATAATTTTTATTTACTGTATGTTATTTTACTTTATTTTAATTTTTAATGTATTTTTATTTTTTGTTTTGTTTTACTTTATTTTTTATTTTATTTTACTTTTAAAAATTTTATTCAATTTCATTTTATTTTTTTCTAATACACAAAGAATAAATCACTGTGGTATTGGGGTCCAAGAGGAGTTGCTTCCCTGCTGGAAATGAGTTTTCAGCCTGGACCAGCTCTAAAATCCGGGATTTCCAGTAGCTCCTGGACTAAAACAAGTGCATCATCCCTGGATGAGGCATCCTTGGAGCATCTTCTCCTTCCTTTATGCAGCTCCATCCATCCCTTCCTATTCCCATCTCCTGCTTTGGGGATTCCACCACATTCCAGAGCTGATATTTGGGTACATTCCTGAATTTACACCATTTTTAACTAGTGACAAGTGTTTTCCTGGTATTGGAAGCTGCAGTTTTTTGGGGGAGGAAGGAGTCAGGAGCTGAGTAAGTAGCAGGGGCTGGAATTCCACCTGGAATTCCACCCTCACCTGCTGCTCCAAGAACCTGGCCTGGGCTCGTCGATGGTTATGGCGCTAAAATTACCCCCCCAAAATGCTCCATCCTGGGATAGAACTGAGCCCAAAGCCCTTTTTTGGATGTGTGAATGGCTGAAATTTTCCTGGATTTATTAGGAATCCCAGCAAATAAACCCTGGGATGAGCTCAGCTGGTCGGAGCAGGGTGCTGATAAATAATCCCAGGGTTGGGGGTTCAGTCTTTGTGGGGGACGTTCACTTAAGAGCTGGACTCTGTGGGTCCCTTCCAACGCCAAATATTCCGTGACTCTGCAGTGGTTGACAGACCTCTGGAGGCCACGGAATAATTTTGGGAAGGGACTTATAAAGATCCTCTGGTGCAACCCCCTGTGATAAACAGAGACATCTTCAACTAGACCAGATCCCCCTGTAGACCATTCAGTTGGACTCTGATCCTTGTGGGTCCTTTCCAACTCAGAGTATTCCATGATTCTCGTCACATCTGAGGTTGTTCAGAGCCCTGTCCAACCTGGCCTTGAGTTTTTCCAGGGATGGGGCATCCACCCACCTCTCTGGGCACCCAGGGTCACCTGGTTCAAGCAGCAAAATCAACCCAGCCCAAAATCCCGGCCCGTGGAGCGACCTGAAGAGTCTCCTCTTCCTCTGGAGTTCAAGCAGGAGCTGCCATCCCTAATTTTTCCGTTAGAGCATCGGGGTGTAGACGTTGTGGGAGATGATGAGAACCACTGGATAGTGGGAATTCCTGGAATTCATTTGCATTTTTGCAGCGTGGCTGGGGGACGGTGCCGGGCACGCTGGTGGGGACAGCGTGTGCCGGGGGGCAGGAAAAGTTCACGGTGAAGTTCCCGGGGTTTTGGTGCATTCCAGGGCTGCGTGGGATTGTCACGGTGGTTTAGAGCCACAAGTTGAAAATGCCTCCTCCAAGTGCCCAAAACGTCTCAGAGCAAATAAAACGCTGATGGAAATCAAAGCATAATTAACATTTTGGCTTTCCAGGCCGACCTCTTCCCGAGTTCACCAGGGAGAGTCAGTTACTGCTGCTGAGGAGCTTGTTAATATGGGATGCAAGGGGCTCCTTTAAAAGAAAATACTCCTTTTTTTTTTAAGGGGGGGGATGTGGAAATTGAGTTTAAAAAAAACCCAGTATTTTAGGAGAAAGGGAAAGGGGGGGGGGGGAAGGTGGTTTCTGGTTTTCAGCGAGCGCAGGGCCACGGCCTCCAAAAATGAACATTTCCAGCCTAATACTTTGAAAAGAATGACTGAAAAAGCCCCTTTGTCTTTGATGGCTGATTGTTGTTTTTATTTCTTGTTAGACAAGTTAATGTAAATCGCATTGACAGGGCTACTCCAAACACACTGATTTGTTGACATTAAGCTCCTCAGAGATGGAGGGTTGTGTCAACACCTCCCGGGAACTGTCAGGTTAACAAAGCAAGGATGTTTTCCTGGGGGAGGGGA